GTTCTTTGCATCTCAGAGAGTAAAGTTTGAGAACCTGCAGGTGTGAGAAGCCAGGCCATGCAGATCCCGGTTGAATGGATAAACACAGCTGTGTAAGAATGAGCAGGGCTGTTGGGTGCTCCTGAGGAGAGACTCCAGGTCTTATTCACCTTTATTTACAATTCACTGGGAGCTAAGGGCAGAGTGGACGAACAGAGAACAGCAAAGAACTGCCTGGAAAAGAGTAAGAGGAGAGATCCTGGAAGTGGTCAAACCTCAAAGACAATATCATATGGGAAGCAGCCCGGTGCAGCCGAGTGAAGGACTTGGGGCTGCTGGTGGATGAGAAGGTGGACATGTCCTGGCCATGTGTGCTGGCATCCAGAGTCCTCTCCGTGTCCTGGGCTGATCCCCCAGTGTGGGCAGCAGGAGTGGGGGGCGGATTTGCCCCTCTACCCCACTCAGGGGAGACCCCACCTGCAGAGCGGCCTCCAGCCCTGGGGCCCAGCACAGGACAGATGTGGGGCTGTTGGAGCACATCTGCATCTCCTTTAGCGCCTCCCACAGGCTGACCTGGGGCCGCTGCTGTTCAGCCCCGTCAGTTGCAGCACCCATCCCGCAGGGAGGTGGATGGGAGAGGACCCTCCCTCGGGGACTGGAGTTTAAATATCATGAGGCTGGTGCAAGGGGCAACATCCACAGCTGCTCCAGCTGCCAGGACCAGCAGGGCAGCTGTTCTCACCTACACTCTGCTGGGAGCTGTGCTCCAGCTGGCTTCCAACGTCTTCCTCCAGTGGTCTGTTGGATCTGTCTCTCACACCAGCTCCTTTCCTGGACAGAGGATTCCCTGCAGGTGTAGGACAAGAACAACACAGTGAGCTGCCCTAAGTCAGGCAAGCCCTAAGTTTTTTCAGTGCCTTAACCCTTTTCTGCTGTGCAGCGCAAAGGAAGTAAAATGAGCTGAGGAACAGGAAGACACTGACCAGCCAAAGGACCATCAGCTCCTGCCTTTGCCTGGAGAACAAGTCTGATGGAATGCTCACGGTAAGGCACAATTTCCTGCACTGCTCAAAGCTTCCCTTAAAAACAAACTTTACAAATGCCTCCACCTCAAGTTTTTCTTCCCAGATGAGGAAGTTTAATCAAAGAACAAGAGATTCTACACAGGTAGGGCAAGGACAACCATGTTTCCTGTGTCACTATCCAGTGCTCTGTTCTCTAAACCAATCTTCCCCCTTTGTCCAGCCCCTCAGTCCCAACCAGCTGCTCTTCCACAGCTTGGATTAACCAGCTCAGAAGCCTGGGCAGGTACAAACACACCAGTAAACATGGGGAACACACATCACATTTGATACACCAGACATTAACACAGACAAATGAGATGGGAACAGAACATTCCTACAAGACACAACTTGAATTGATGTTTATTTTATATATATATTTATATATATATATATATATATATATACCTTTGTATAGATTAAACTGGGGGGGATTTTATCATATACATTTTTTTGGTATAATACATGAGAAACAGGGACAAGAACATAGCAAATATAAATCAGTACATTCCTTCAGTGAACTCCTTGACACACTGAGACTGAAAAATTGCATGCAATGGGGAGACAGAGAGAAGGGAAATCAATTTTATTAGAAAAAAAAAAAAAGCCAAGATAATCTAGGTACAATCGTCAACAGAGGAGCAGCACTATAGATGGCAAACCTGTATAAATTAAAAGAAAATTCCACTCTGACATCTACTATGCTTTAAAGTGCAATGAAGCCTGATTTATTTACCTACAGAATACAGGAAAGTTTCCCCCTCTCCCCATTCCAATCTATCCCTAAAAAAAACACAACCAACCAAACCCAAACAAACAAACCAATAAAACAAATCTAAAGGATATACATTATCCACAGTCCTACAGAGACGCCTACATCTACTCAGTAGCACCAAGAATCTGATATGGGTGTAATTAAAATCAATTAAAACTCGGGAGCAATGGTAACATCTGTTAGCTGCTTCTGCAGACCTCCTGCCCTTTATGAGTGCCTGGGGGAGAGGTGGCTCTCCCTGTGCTGGGGTGACCGTGGCCCAGCGGGTCTGGCAGCAGCAGAGCACACACAGCACAGCAAGAGCAGCGCGGGGACACGGGGACAGGGGGCCAGGCCCCACGTGGGGTCTGCACGGCTGGCTGGGGGTGTCACACACCTGGGCTGGCGCCTGGGGGCAGCGGGACTGACCTACACAGAGGGGAAGGGTTGTGCGAGTCCAACACACGCCATGAGCCTCTTTGGTGACAGGGTCATGGGGAGGGAGGGAGGGAGAGGAAGGGGGTCAGCACAGCCCCCCTCTTGTGAGCCTCTGGCTGTGTTGTCTTCTGAGGCCAGGGGCCTCTGTGCCACAGTTCATCTGTCTCCACATGCCAACTCTCAGCAGCCCTCAGAAGCCAAAGGTCTCCTGGGAAGCATAGACCATGTAGAGGAAGCCATCCTCGTCCTTCTCCTGCTCGTAGATCTCCGAGATGGGGGTGGACACGCTGACCATGCTGTGCTGGTTCACCAGCAGGAAGAACGCCTGGGTGGGATTCAGCTGCAAGCGGCGCCTGTGGGGGAAAGGGCAGGAGAGGCAGGGTCAGCCCAGCTGGGGTGGGTGTCCTGACAGCCAGTTCCTCCTCCCCAGCAACGCTATTCCCTCGGGCCAGGCCTGCACAGCCAGGGCCTCCTCCCACCACTTAGGACATGGTATCCATGAGTCCAGCTGAGCGCCTCCAGGGCCTCCTGAGCCAGGATTCTGCAAAGCCCTCTTTTTCCAAGTGCTACCGGCAAGGGCAAAGCAGAGGGGCCTCTTCCCTCTGAGCAGAAGAATAAAAAGAGGGGATGGGACCCCTTCACTGCTCATGAGTGTCCCCTTGAGGGAGAGACCCCAGCCCTCCACAAGGTGCTAAGAACCTGCCCTCCCCTGCCCCCCACAATAGTTTGTACCACACACAAGGATGCTGCTGCTGCCACATCCCCATCCCTGCCCTCAGCAGCTGCCTCTGCCTCACCCTCACCCCACCACCCTGCAGTGAGTGGCCTGTGGGTGAGCACAGGCTCTCAACATGCCAGCTGATACCACCCCACTCACCGGATTATTTTGACCAATTCACTCATGTTGACATGGTCTGGGACAAGGAACTTGGTCTTATCCAGCACCGGCAGCTGTTTCTCCCCTTTGTAGCGTTCAATGATGACCTGGGGGGAAAGCCAAGGGTAAGGTTAGTCATGTTCATAGTGCCCCACACACTGGTCCCAAGGTCAGATACAAATCCAACTAGCATCGGTAGAAAAGCTGAGGTACAGCCTCACTTTGCTTCACCCTCACAGGAAACAAAACAAAAAAAGGACAGGAGCAGTGACCACCAGGCTGGCTGCAGGTGGCTCTTCATCAGTCATCTGTGCTTGAGCCAGGCAATGAACAGTGTCCAAAACAATGAACTAAAGCACCAAGTGCTCTGGCTGGCAGAGAAACAATGGGCACCCCTGGACTGATATAGATTCTTGTCCTCTGGCATGCAGGACATCTGAAGAGGAGTGAAGTATTTAACAACACTTTCTGACTGACCAAACCCACAGGTTTTGCTGGCTTGAGCTACAGACAGCTCATGATGGAGTTTCCTTCCTGCTGCCATTCAGCATCCCTCTGCCTGCTCAGGAACAGCTGTGGATATTCCCAAGCAAGCAGTTTTCAGAAGTCCCAGTGAAGCCATCCAGGCATTCCTTCAGAAAGGGGGCGTTTGGATTTCACTAGTCCCACTCCTTATGTTAAGAGGCAGACACACTGACTCTGAGAAGGATCAGAAACCCAGGGCCACTCCAGCTGTCACTGAGCTTCCCAGGCATTCCTGCATGGTGTCACCACATGGACAACCCAGCCCATCCTCCTCTGCCAGACATCTTGCTTGGAAAAGTTCTTACCATCCCTACATTCTGAAATGGCTGAATGATGATTTCTGATCCATTTTCCTGCTATTACAGTTAATGATTTTCTTCTGTGAAGCTGTTTGCTGACAGCTACAATTGCTGTTCTAAACCAGCCTGGAAATGCACCTTTTGTATTCTGAGAAACAAAGTGGCAGGAAGTTAAAGTATGGAATGTACTTTTAAGAAAAATGAAAATAAGTGAAAAATATACAGCTTAGTATGTACCCATTGCAGTGATGCTTTCTCACATCTCTCCGGCAACCTGCTGATTTCCCCACAGAGAGACTCCTGGATACTCATCAGCCCATTATCCTCTCCCACCTGAGACTGAACACTATTTTTCACTACAAGGCAATTTTTACAATTGCCGTAATTTTTATTTTCCCAAGTCCTTTCCAAAAATACTCGAGACTGCAAGTGGCTTTTGGCAGCAGAGGGACGGAGCAGCGTGCAGAGAGGAGGATCCCCAGGAGATGGCTCTGTGGAGCCAGAAGGACCAGGGAACCTCTGGGAACGCGGATTTCCCTTCCCTTTGATCCTTCCTTGACACATCAGGCCTCCGGCAGCAGCAGCAGTGGAACTCCTGCCAGCCTCCCCCAGAGGTGGATCAGACACACGGCTGGAACACTGTGGAGTCACCAGTGAGCTGGGAATGTCTGAGGAGCACCCCAGGCCGTGGGGCTGATCTGACAGGGCTGGGCTGCAGGCACTTCCCAGAGGAGCAGGGGGTGAGGTGCCTTGCTGGGGCTCTGTACCAAAACGGCCTCTGCAGAGCCCACCCTGGAAAAATCACACCCAAGGGGAGCCCAGCACCTGGGCAAGCAGCATGCGAACACTAGGTAGCTCTCTTTGGCAAAGGAGAATCTGATTAAAGAACCACTTTCTGCAACAGACTAAATAATGCATTGGGACATCCCCCACCAACCTGTTAATGGCCCTTCATCCCTCCAAGGAGGGCACAGGGAGGACAAGATGAGCAGAACCATCCTACTGCATTTAACTTGAATCTTACAAGGAGAGGCGAGTATTTTGACTCTGGGGAGAGGAGTAGTCTTGAGGGGCTGAGCACTCACAGCAGCCACATACAAGGATGCTGCTGGGAAACACACGGGCAACAGTGGCCCTTCAGCTTTTTGGTTTGCACAGAGAAGCAGCTACACAGCTGGTGTTTGTACCTTTACCTGCAGAGAGGGCCCTGCACACCTGGATGATGCCTCAGTTTTCACAAGAGCAGGACCAGAGGCCAGCATCTCTCATTACCAGCCAGGTCCATCCCAAGAAGAACCACCTTCAGATTAATCCAAGAATGGGATACAATGGCTGTGCTGGCTCTTGGAGCAGCAGCTGCCTTGTGCCCTGAGCAGACACAGAGCCTCTCATGTAGAACAACTCCAAGAGTTTCTGTTCCCAGAACATGAGCTGCTATTTGGGTAACCCAGCTATGAGAACAGGTGGCCAGTGGACAAAACGTTCTTGTGTAGCTCTGGAGGGAAAAGCATGATCAAATGCTAAAGTTACATCCCTGCGGGTGTACACAGCCACCTCCCATTCCATATCCTCTTCCAAGCTGCTGCCTTGAGCCAGGGGCTCCTCAGCATGGGACACCTGCTCTTGCAGAAGGAACAGATCTCTGCAGAAATCATGAGTGGGCACAGGTGGGGAGGGGAAACACTCAGGGCAGAGCCTGAAGTCCCAGTCCCGCTGCAAAGGGGGCTTGGACAGCACTTATGAATACAGCCTTTGTTCTGGGGCCAGTCTGGAGAGATGGAAAGTTTGGTAGGGAATATGGCCAGATGTGGTGGTCAACAGAGGCAAGGAGTGAGGTTGGGAACCAGGAGTGAGGTTGGGAATGTATTCCTAGCAGGCACAGAGGCTCAAATGTGTGTATGTAACACCTCCCTGGCATCCATGGCCAGGCACAGAGACACAGACACACACAGACCTCACACGAGCACAGACTGCACCAGCCTCACCCTGTCCCCCTCTGGCAGAGCAGGGTGCAGGTGCTTTAGTCACAGCAGACACAGGAGCCCTCAGTCAAAAAGGTGCTCTGGGGTTGATCCATCCAGAGTCATGTCAGTGCTGGACACTGGATTTGCAACTCCCCAGAAGAGCCCTCCCAGGAGCCCAGAGAAGGCTGTCCCTTCCTCTGAATCCGTAATTTGGGTTTCCATCCACGCCTGTGCCAGGGCTGGGCATTATGTGGGATCTCCCACCTGCCACTGTCTCTCCATGCTCCTCTGGGGGTGCTCAGATGAACCCAGCAGAGCCCTCTCTGCATAGCCCAAATACCCCCTCAGCCCTCCCTGCCAGCACCAGGGGTGGCCCTGCCTTCAGCCCCCTCTACAGCCCACAGCTCACCAGGCCTGCCTGAATTTAGCACTGCAGGGCTTTGGGAAGTAGTTTGCTCCCACTGCTGCCCAGCACAAGCTGCTCCCCAGCAATTTCAGACTCGAGGGTTCAGTCATCTCCAGAAAGGTCCCTGGGGCTGAGAGCAGGCAGGGACAGTGCAGGGGGGACAGCTCCCTGTCCTCTAACAAGACAGAAGATGATTTTGAAAACATATATTGAGGCTGTGGATGGGGGTCCCAGTGAAAAGGCTGGAAGTTCTCTGCTTGCTCTGACTGCCCAAAGAGGAACTGCCCTGCGAGGAGCAGCTGGGGATTTCTTCCCAACACAGCTGAGCATGAGCAGCCCCTGCTACCAGCACAACAATCTCACCTTCTCAGCAGGTGTGCCTGTGGTCAGCATCTTCTGCCAGAGCAGGCAGCTCAGGGAAATGCAGAGACAGCAAAGGAGCCCCTGGCATGAGGTGGACAGGGGACCTGGCTCCTGCCTGTGTCCTTATTACATGTGCCAGGGGGGCAACCTGGGATGTGACATCCCATGAAAGAGAAGCCAAGAACTCCACATCAGTCCCTTCCTCAGCTTTCCCTGCAAGTACACTCATGGAAACAGGAGAGACGTGCTCTTCCCTGGGCACACAGCCAGGCCGTGCCTTCTGCAAATCCTCCTGGCCCCCTCTCAAGGCAAAAGGGACTCGCCCAAGGACTCTGGCTGGAAACTGGAGATGCAGGAGGGCAGCAGGTGCTGCACAGCTTTGCCGTGGTTTCCATCAGCAGTAAGGGTGTGACCTTGGATCTCCCTAACTCCCCTGGGCTGGGCACTCAAACCCCTCTTCTGATTCCAAGTGCCTCTCCAGGGAAGCCAGTCACTTGGAAAACACAGCTCCTGTCTTTCACAGATGACCAAGACCTTCCTACAGCTGATGAGCCTATAGTGCTTGGACCCATGACAGTGTTCACACCACACTCCTGCACGAGGCTCTGGTCACTGCCCAGCACTGAAACCTGCCCTGGGAGAGAAGAGAGACAGCACCAAGCTGCTCTTGGGGTCTAACAGGAACCAGGCCTTTAGAGACAGCAGTGACACAAACACAGCTGGACCCCACAAGCCTTCATGACCCTTCTCACCTCCTGATTATTTTTACCCCTCCAGCAAAACTTGCAAAACTTGTGGTGTTGACTCCAACACAAAGAGCACTCCAGCCATGGGAGCTCTCCCACCATGTCTCAGTAATGCCATAGAACTCTGCCTGTGGATGCACAGCTGTGGCTCCTTCTGTCCATTCCCCAAGCAGCACACATTTGTATGCAGGCACCTGATACATGCACACGTGACCATTTTATGTACAACTTATTTCGAGCCTGGCTTTACTGCCAGAGCCTGAATGCACTGCAATTAGCTCTGCCACAGCTCTGGAGAAATGCAGAGCCAGTCTAAGCCATTAATACCACATTAAAAGCAGAGGTCTATCAAGATGTTGACGACCTGGAGGACTGGTACCCAGGGTACTGTGAGGGGCAGGCCCTGCTCTGCTGGGCTGGAAACACGTGAACATCACGTGAACACCACAGTGGTGGCGGGAGGAGAGGAGAAGAAAGAATTCTTCTGGCTAGAAGACACTGTGCTAAAAACTAAACAAGAGTGAGGCAGAAGTGGACTAAGATGGGCCAAGAGCAGTTTGAGTCTTGAAGGCCAAATGCTGATAGCCTACAATTTTAAGACAAGGTTGATGTTCATCCAACACTAAGAGGGAGCTGAACTAGGAATCCTGTATTTTTGGTCACAGATTCTGTGATATAGCAAACAGTAAGATGAGCAAGCCCCAAGTACATAATTTCATAGAATCATGGAATGGTTTGGGTTGGAAGGGACCTTAAAGGTGAGGAGGGACACCTTCCACTAGACAAGGCTGCTCCAAGCCCTGTCCAACCTAGTCTTGAACACTTCCAGAGATGGGATGTTCCTCCAAGTTCTCCAACTTCTCAGGAAGAGCAGCAAATACTAAGGTGGGAACTCAAAAGCACACTCATAGCCAAAGAGCAACTCAGCATATTAGGTGTGACATGGGCAGGAAGAACTGCAAGTTCATGGTGTCTCACCTGTGCCTGTCAACTACAGATGCTGGGACAGCACAGAATGGGTATGAATGATCCTGGAAGAGACTCTGTGCTTTCAGTGCAGCAAAGATCAGCCCACACGTCTTTCTCTGGGCACAGAAATCCTTACCAGGCTATCCAAGAAAAATTAGGTAGCTACTACAGCCAAAACAAAAGCCATTTCAGAGTTTTCTCCTACTGCACTCGCTTGGAAATAGATTTGAGATTAAATCAGTCCCCTCCCTCCAGGGCAGCATGGAGCTTTAGAGCCAGACTGTCCTTTGCACTGCAGAGAACACGTCTGCTATTGAGCAGCTGGCACACACAAGGCACTGGAGGCTCATGGGGACCATCCTGTGTTGATTCCAGGTAGCAAAGTTTTGCAAGCTCTATGGAGGCCACCCAGGAGCACAGAGGGGTCCTGAGAACAAAGCCTGACACAGAAGAGTGAGAACAATTCACTTACTGGGATTTTGTTTGGATGCTGCTCTCGGATCTGCTGCACTTCTTTACAACGATCCGCTGCAGAGAAAGAGGTAAAGAAATCAAGTTAGAAACACTTGTGTGTGGTAGGGCAGGCAGAACTGGGGTACCCATCCTTCAAGCCACAGCCTGACCCAGAGAGAGGGACATTTCCCAAGGAATGCACATTCTCCTCACCAGGCCTTTTCTGAGCATGGTCTGCCAGATGTCACCTCCAGTGACCAGCCCTTCACGGCTTCCTACTGCCCCAGCCACCCCCCAGGCTGGGACACGCCACTCTGCCTGGTGAAACTGGGCAGCACACCTGGAAATCAGGACAGTGAAAGGAGACCATAAAGCTAACAAAATTAACTTTATTCCACCCTAAGCACATGCAGCTCCTGGCAATGGGTGCAGGGCAGCAGCACAGCTTTAGGGGCTGTGCTCTGCAAGTTCAGGCTCGATGTGTCTCCTGGATGCTTCCCCCAGGGAGACAATTCTCCAGCTGGGGTGGGTTTTAGCCATTTCCTCCTGCCTGTTGCGCACTTCCAGGCACTCTCTGGCACAGTGCCTGGTTCCACAAGAGCTGCATCTCGCCAAGGAGGACTCCTTTCCTAGCACAGAGCTATGGAGCAGCTACAACAGCTCTTGGCCTGACAGAAAGCATTTCTAGGCCTGGAGGCAGGAAGAAAACCTTAAGCAAGGAGATGACCCACATACAGATGGACTTTTCCTGCAGTTGTTCTCACACTTTCTATTTCTATTCCATTTTCCTCCAGAGTTTATTGACACACACAACAGGCAGCACAAAGCTTGTGCACTCTTCCAGTTTACAGGAGAATTCCTATACCCCTCACTGCTTTACTAGAGGGCTCTCCTCTTTCTGCCACCCAAAGCAGCAGAAAGCAGAGGCAGAAGCAGTACCAGAGCCAGGGAGGGCTCTGTGTTTGCTCTTCCAGGGACACTACAGACCTGCCCTCCTCCTGGAACTGCCACTACTCTGGGAAGTGCTTCACAGCCTACAGCTGAAATGCCCAAAAACTACCCCAGGGGGTGAAGGTCAGTGACTACACACTGCCTAGAAAAGAGAACTGGGTATTGAAGGATCTTCACGGGATCATCATGGCAACAGCTCCAGCCCGACTCCCCTCACCAGCTGACACAGCCCCAGCTCCCCATGGCCCACTGGGATAATGGAGGGCAGGATAAATGCATGTGGCTGAGTGCTTTCTCCTCAGAAACACTGATAATTTCTCCTCAGAGCACTCAATAAAACCTTACTGCTTATATGTTGAATTTGGCTAGATATGACTTCGGGAGGAAACTGGAGTTTCTTTAAAAGCCACAAGACTACAAAATCACCAGATCACAGAAAGTTTTGAGCACCATTTCTGCCTCCTCTGAGAGGAAAATATCGTTCTACTAGGAACTGTTGGATCTTTTATTCCGTAGGACTCCATAGGCAAGCAACACAGAGCAAGATTATTTGGATTTCATGAAAAATTCAGGCATGTTTGTTTTGGGTTTTATGACTGAAGATGCAACTTCTCATGTTTCCTTTTTATCCAATCCAGTGCTCCAGGGATCCAGAGTTATTCTTGTGATACAAACAATTTTCCCCTGAGGTACCACTCAGCCAGGGAGTCACACAGACATCAGCAGCACACGTGACACTGGTACAGAGACACCTCCCTGGTAATGCCGAAGGACATGGTTCCAGCAGCACCCAGCCCACATCACCCAGCTGGAGCAGAAGCAGCTGCCCCCTCCCACAGAGCCCCATTCCCACTTGTGTCCAGGATGGAGTATCCAAAAGACTGGAGATCCAGAGCTCAACTGGACAACACTGATCACCATGGAAATTCCAGCAGCTTGCTCAGACTTCTGGGTGTTAACAGAGCCTGCAGAGCTGTGTCCTCATGTTTGGCCAGTCATCCTGGCTTCAGTGTCCACCCTAGCCTGCTTCTCTCTCCATGTAACCGATGGCCATGTGGATGAGCTTCCCAAACACCATGTGCTGCCCTGCAAGGTCACAGGACTCTTTGTACAGGAAGCCCCAACAATGCAGGTAATTGTGAGAAGGTTCAGAGAAGGAATTTGCGGAAGGCATGTTATGAAGGCTAGTAAATGAAGATAATCTTGGAGCATCCAACTAGGCCAGGCTGCGTGTGCCAAAGGGCAGCCACATGCCAGACATCCCTTCCTGCTCCCTGGAAGCATCACCAACTACAGCACAAGATGACACAAGCCATCACCACCTCCATTTACACAGTGGGAACAGAGGTGCCTCCTGCTCATTACACTGAAAAAGGTGCCACACAGAGAGGAAGAGGGTCCATCATGACTCCAGCTGCACATCAGTGCCTCAGGATCCCACCCCTGGGACCACAGTCCTCTGTCCTCCACAGGGAACAGATGGGTGCCTTGAACAGAGGTGGCTGCTGCAGAAAGATCCTTCCAGGTCTTGCTGACTCCATGCTCAGGAGGAATCAAGGGCACGAGACACCAGTGACAGAGCTCCCAGCAACTCTCAAGTCTGGTGGGCCACAGTGGAAGCTCCCCTGTCCCACCCTTTAAAACCTGCCACATGCCCAGGACCTGTTCCCTCTGGCCAGCAGGATCCAGGGCATTCGCAGCCTTCCTGACCTCAGGGGACCCTGTGGCAGGAGGCTGATCTGCAGGTGACCACAGGGGAATGGCAGCAGGTGCTGCTTTACTCCAGGGGCTGCTGGATCTCTCCAGAACGTCCATGGATTGCAACTACAAACACCTCAAGCACTGCACTTCTTCCTCTGGCCTGGAATCACTCACTTCAGAAACTCCATTCAGGAAGGCAGTTGGCAGCAATCCCACCTAAGGTGCTCAGGCTCCTGAACCTACAGGCAGAAGTCTGCAGGACACCTGAAGCACTGCTAAAGAGCACACTCTGTCCCATCCTAGCCTTGGAGAGCCAAGGAAGCAGGCTTGGCAATCAGGAAAAGCTGCATCAATCCCTGGGGGATTTCTGTGCACACAGGAGTTCAGGCACAAGAGATCTCCAGCAAGAGATAGTGATGGTCACCCACACCCTCCTCAGCCTGGGGTGGGAGCCAGAGGCTGAGCCTGTGACTCATGAAAGCATCAACATCACACAGCAGGAACAGGTATAAATACCAGCCTTAATTCAGTGTCTATACAGTCTAATCTAAGTCACAGGAAAACAGAAAAAGGGGTTAAAGGGCACTTCAGAGAAACCTGGCTGGAGGTGCCAGCCCAGCACCCAAGCCCCCACAGTGCTGACGACAGGCAGGTTGCCCCCACCCCAGCAGGGTCTGCACACTCACATTCATACACCACAGGCCTGGTCTTACAAGCTTTGTTTTCCTCCTGCAGCTCTCCCAAACTGTGCTGAAGTTGAGACTTTCCCCATCCCTGCAGCACCTGGCCACAGTTAATGCTTAGCCAATGTGCAGAGCAAACCAGAGCTGTTCACACAGTCCTGTCCCCATCCATGTTCTCCTCCTCTGCTCCCTCCTCGCTGCCAGGGCAGCAGAACACCACACCTGACTGTAGCAGCTCAGAGGCTCCACACGAGAGGGGCTAGAAGGGCTCCAGCCTCCTGCTGCTCCAAGGAGCTGAGCAAAGAGTGATGACCTGCATGAGAGGGAAGAGCCCCACCCATGCTCCAGCTGTGGGCACCACATCTCTGCCTTGAGGGAAGCCAGACTTCTCCCTAGTGCCAGGATGTCAGGCCTCAAGATGGCAGCAAGACAAAAAACACACAATTTTATTGGTTATTCCCAGGGAAACTTCTCTGCTAGGGCCTACTGAAAGACAGGAGTATTTTTGTAACATTGCATATGTCGGGAAATTGCCTATTTCTCCTCCAACTGCTGTTTCAACTGTTAAGTACCAACAGCAAGGCTTGCAAATTGCCCAAAACACCAGAATCTTGGCTATTTTCTTGACTGAGGTCCTTCCCAAGCTGTGCTCCAAAAGATGTGAGCACACAGTGTATCCCATGGCAATGCAGGATGAGATCATTATGGCAGTTGAGAAGAGTGGAAAATTTTAAGCCACACTTTGCAAACATTAACCTTTTTTATCAGCTGTGCCCAGGAGCTCTGGCCACGGGAGCCAGGTCCCTGCTGTGCTGGGCGCTGTGCAGACACAGGATGAAAGGACAGTCCTGGATGCAAAACAGCCTCAGCAGACAAAAGATACAGATGGTGGGACAGAAGGAAAACACACGGCAAGTCCTCCAACAGTGCTGTTGCATAAGGGGCACCATTTTTCAGGAGATTCTAGACAAGCACTGCTCAGGCACTGGTGCTGCCCCAAGGCAGCAGATGGGCGATAGGGAGAGGCCCTGCTGCCTGTGACCAGCAGGAATGCTGCTAGGAAAACACCAGTAAGAACAAATACCACCTGGAAACCTCATCAGCTACCAGATCAACAGCTCCTGAGCTGGGCAAGGGCTGTGTGCAGAGAGCAGAGACCAGAAATGCAGCCGTGAGCTACTGCCTCTCCTGTGTCCCACAGCTCCGGAGTGTACAGACATCCCTGGCACCTCCAGCAGGCTGCTGGCCCTGTGGCTTCTCTCTGCCATCCACACAACACCCTGCCAGCCAGCCCGGAGAGGGATCTGCCTAAGATTTGAAGCAGATGCAAAAATGAACGTGTTTCTTCAAGAAGCTGCTGTGGTCAGTCCCAGGGCAGAGTGCTGCTAAAGCATGGACTTCTCTCCAAGAGATTTTCTGCCAGGAGAGGAGGAATTGGATGGTTTGAAGTCAGGATGTGTGTGGGATGAGCTGGCAAGTGCTGGAGACACAGGCCAGTTATGCAGGTCATTCCACATGAACATCAATGACTATTTCTGTAATATCACACCACGCTAAGGCCACGCACCTCTAACCACCAGGAAACACCCAAATTTGTGAGTGTGTCATGGCTCACCCAGCACCTGACCTGACCTGTCCTTGCCCAGTACTCCTCCTCAGGCCAGAGGTGCTGCAGGAGGAGTGAGAGACTCCCACATCCAGGAAGGAAGGAGGTTGTGCCCAGGCCAGGTGTCCTCAGCACCCCAGAGGGTGCTTGTCCCAGGCTCCATAGGACAGCAGCACTGCAGAGACCTGACAGTGCTTCTGATTGTCAGGTTTATTTTATTTGACTGTCTGCGAAGCTGGGTGCTCCGGACAGGACAAATGACTCAGGACCAAACCCACACTGCCCTGAACCTAAAAACTTTGAACTGATAAAAACATATCTCTGCATCATGGAATAGGTGGAGCCTAAAGCTCCACTGTCCCTGGAAGTTATTACCAGCATAAGCATGGAGCAGTGGATGCTCTGTCTTCATGACTCTCCATCCCACCACCACAGCTGCAATACCAGATGTGCAGTGTCTGGGAGGAGTTTGGAATGCCAGGTTCGTGGAGCCCTGTCACTGCAGAAGGATCTTAGCAGCCTTATTCATTTGCAAAAATTCCCAATCTTCCTGGCTCCAGAACAGAGCTTGAAAATGGATTGTAAAACACAAACAGGAAATACCTTCATTTTTCTTAGCAGTTTAAAAATGTAGCAGGAGTATGATTTTGAGCCTGGCTCCAGGAATGAGCATTTGCATATGGCAAATCACGATAAGGGCTCAGCTCGTGATCAAGCAGAGCCACACCACAACTGTGAACTCTAAATACATGTCAAGACACTTGTCCTCTGGTTGTACAGTATCACTGGAGTGACAGGACAAGGCAGAATGGCATTAAACTGCCACAGGGCAGGGACGGATGGATACTGGGAAGGAATTCTTCCCTATGAGGGTGGGGAGGCCCTGGCACAGGGTGCCCAGAGCAGCTGTGGCTGCCCCTGGATCCCTGGCAGTGTCCAAGGCCAGGCTGGATGGGGCTTGGAGCAGCCTGAGAAAGTGGAAGGTGTCCCTGCCATAGCAGGGGGTGGGATGGGATGGACTTTAAGGCCCATTCCAAACAAAACCATTCTGGGATTCTGTGATCCACCCCTGCCATGGACTGTGTAGGATGAGCACTGGACCTCCAATCATCCAAACAACTTAAAACTCACTGCACCCTCTGGGAATGAGGGGGAAACGGGCGGCACCTTCTGTGTCATGTCAGGACGGCAAAGGGAGTATTTACATCACAGTTTCAGATAAGGAACTGGTTTTTTGCTCAACATTCAATCACAGTTTCACTATCCTTGGTAAAGCAACACCAAGTTCCCTCTGTATCCTTGGGAGGCTGCCATGCCAGGGTTTCCCTCTGCCTGCTGCATGACCTTCCACCTGGACAACCTTCCCATCCATCTCCAAGACAGCACATTTCTCAGAACTACTCAGGACACTTCAAACTGCTCAAAGAAAGACCTGGCACTGCTGGCAGGACTATATTTTGGTGCAGCCCACTGTGCATCTGCATGCACCAAGAGCCTTTGCCCAGCACAGTTCACGGCTATTTGTGCACCAACAGGCCTGGACATGCACAGATGCTTTGAGGACACATGCCAGACACCAGTCTTGACTTCATTCCTGCATTTTCTCTCACAGCCTTAAACCACCTTCTGAGGACAAAAGGCAGCAAACAAGAGCATGACAGAGCTGGTAGTGTTTACACACTGCCAGTCAACCACAGAATGTCACCCGAGCAGGTGACACACTGTGAGACCTCCCAGGTGACTCTCCTGGCTGTGATCCCTGCTGGGACTGACCACAGAAGGAACACCAAAGCCAAGGGACATAACTTATCCATGGCTCATGGCTACTCAATGACAGAGGTGGCAAGGGCCTAGCACGCTGACAGCCTCTGGATTCACCAGTCTCCACCCTTCTGGCTCAAAGGAAGATCTGAAGTTTTCATAGTGGAAAAAGAAAAAATTAAGTCATGAACAAAACACACAAGTTTTATTATCCCTGGCTGCCAGTCAGGACCTTGTGTTATATGAAAGAATAATAATAAAAAAAATCAAAATTTGTGGTCTACATGTCAGTCTGGCTTTTGTTCTGGAAGCCTGTTCAGTTCTTCAACGCTGATAATTACCCCCACATCCAGTCAAGTCACAGAATGTCCTCAGTAATTAATCCAAGACGCAGGCAGCTAAGCAGCAACTTGGAGCAGCATCCTCCTCTCAAGGAATCCCAGCTCTCAAAGCACAACTGCCAGAACAGACACCCAAGAATCAGCCAAGGGCTGACCTCACATCAATATCCAGATGTTTTTCCAAGCCACCAATGAGCAGAACTGTTGTGATAAGCACAGGATGGTGTGTGAGGCAGACAATTCAGCCACTGCTGGTCTCTCAGTGGGTACAGGCAGGCTGGCTCGCACTGGATGAGTCCCCAGGGACGCCGCTCCCCAGAGCCAGCAGGGGTTTGCTCCACACCCACCACTGCCTTTCCTCTGAAGAGGAGTGGCTTCCCACAACCAAAGGCAGATCTCCCAGAGGATGGAACCTGGGATAGGATCACTCTGTCCACAGAGGCTGAGGTCAAACCTCTGTTTGTCACCAAGCCAGGGGCTCCAGCTGAGCCACCAGACACACGCAGGTGTGTTCCTGCCTCTGTTCTTGCCGGACACGGGGGCACGGGACCGAGGTGCTCTGGGTCATCCAGGCCGTGTCCATCACCACACTGGTTTTGTGCTGCACTGAAAACACAGCTGGCAGCTGCTGCCAGCCCCATGCAAACCCCGCTTCAGGAGCGGTGGGACAATGCTCCCAAGGACTCGTGTTCCTTTCGGGAAGTGCAACGGTGTCGTCAGGCTGCTGCATGCTCTCACTACTGCCAGGACAGCCTGTTCCTCTGACACAGACCACAGCTTTGTTCTGGGAATTGTTCTGGACTCCTGCAACAGATCTGAACATGCCTCAGCCTCTGGGTTCAGCAGATGGATGCAGAGGGTGGTGCCACATTTTACCCCCTGCACCCACAGCAAGGACATCCTGCTGCCAAGGACCTGCTCTCAGAGCTCAGCTGCCCACCAGGGACAGCACCTGAGCTCACGGGACGAGTCACTGCTCCATGCCCTCCACACACCTCGGATCAAACCCCTGGTGTTTCCCAGCCAGTCCCCTTCTCAAGTCCTCAACAATGATGAAGAGAAATCAGGAAATTTTACTCAGGAGAGACACAAGACCAAGCAGATGAACAAACATAAGGAATTCACAGAAAAATTGCAAAAATACAAGAAGGGGGAACACAAGCACTGAGGAAAGCAGAATCTTCACAGAGGAGCAGCAGCCCAAGACCTAAGGCAGCCACTTGCCATGAAACTGGAGCCTGGGTGCCTTTTGTAAACAGCCATAGCCCTGACTCTGCCTTTTCACTGCTTTTTTGGAACTGTTCCATTTCTGTAAAGTTTTGAAGCCTTAAAAATTAAGCCATTCTGAGGGTACAGAATCGCTGGAGATGTTTTCCACCAGCCCTCTCCAACTGCATTGTAAACAATCGCTTCCTGCTCCTGTTGTGTAATGATTCAAAGACAAAAACAAGCCGTATTTACTTTCTCCAACAGAGTAATTCCAGCCCTGACCCAAAGCAACTGCGGGGGCTGCCAGGCCTCCTCCTCCTCCCCTCCTCCTGGCTCAGCTCTGCAGCCCAGTCAGCTGAGAGAGCAAAAGGGCAGAGGAAAGTACAGAGAAACAAGGAGCACTTGCAGTTGCCGGCACCGAACTCCCTCACTCCCCTGTCCCTCCTGGGCTATTTTAATCCTGCTTTCTTTCAACTGCTCTGAGCCTCAGATTTTGTTTTCCTTCTGGCTCAAAGAAAGTCTGAGCAATCCACAAAGGCAAACCAGTCTCCTCTTAACCATAATAAGCTGATTCTCACCAGTGTAACAGTAGGTAGTTACTAAGGGGCTGATTTAGGACTTTGCTGGTTTTAAGACATAGCTTAGGAGAACACAGCAGGGTCCCAGCAAGGATCCCAAGCTCCCTGGCTTCGGCTGGTTCTTGTTTGTGCGTGTTCCCTTGGCTCGGTCCTGTGGCAGGCGAGGGCTGGGTAAGCATTCAAGGCCAGAAAGGTTGTGCCAATGAAATACCAAATATTTACAGTTTCCAAGAGAGAAGCAAGGGGCTGGATCAGCAGTTTTCAGCAGGCAAAAGCTCCAGTTTTAAAACTCATGTAGGAAACGCCCTCACCTGCGTTTGGACAGTCTCTGGCACAATATGAGGTTTTTTTATGCCATGAAAACACTGCTTTCAGCATTATACAGCGAGTAAAGCTCAAATGCTACCCCCTCCCCAGGAATTTAACCTGCCAGAAACACACACCTCTCTGCGCCAGCTGGCAAAGGTCAAGGGAAACAGCAGCTGGTGCTTCCTCGGATTCCGCTGTCGGGTCTGGAGATAAAAATATGGGACTTTCTACAGTCACCTCCTCACCTTTTGAGCGTCCCCACCAAGCACCTCTGACAAAGGGGTGGGGAGGATGTGAGCACTGACTGCCCTGTCTCCACAACCGTCACACAGGGCGTGCGACATCCTGGGACAACAACCGCCCCAACGCCGCCGAGATGGGGAGCGCGGAAGGCGGTTTTTGGGGAGGTCTTTGTGTTCTGACAGTGAAAAGGGACACCCGGCCACCGCCCTCGTCCCGGGCATTCCACGGCCCCTTGCGGCCGCCACCGCGCCCCAGCGACCCCGGTGCCCGGGAGAAGCGGAGACACAGCGGGGATAGCCCGGGGACATCGCCGCGCTCGGGCCGGGCGCGGTGCCGCCCCCGCGGTGCGGGGCCGGCCGGGATGACATCACCGCGCGGCGGCTGCGGCACCGCCGCCCCCGCCCTCCCTCCCTCCCGCGCGGCCGCTCCCGGCCGGCCCCGGCTCACCGAAGGTGCGGCGCTGCTTGAAGGGCCGGTCCGAGGGCATCGCGGCGGGACCGAGACGGCACCGGGACCGGGCGGCTCCGTCTGCGCTGGGGCTGCGGCGGAGCGGCGGTGACGTCATCGGGCACCGCCCATAGGGGGCGGGGATTGGCCCGTCCGGGGCCCCGCCCACCCCCGCGACCCCGGAGCTGCGCCCCGGCGGGCCCTGCAATGGCCCGGGGGCCGCGGAAAGCGCGGAGCCACCCCCGGGTTTGGGCTGGAAGGGGCAGTACAGCTCAGCCCGTGCCACCCTCTGCCGTGGCAGGGACACCTTCCACTATCCCAGAGTGCTCCAAACCGCGTCCCACCCGGCCTGGGACACTTAAAGGATGGGACAGCCACAGCTTCTCTTGGCACCCTCTGCCAAGCCTCACCACCCTCACAGGGAAGAATTCCTTCCCAACATCCAATCGAAATCTCACCTCTTTTAGTCTAATTCCCTCTTGTCCTGTTACTATCTGCCCCTCTCTTTTTTATAAGCCCCAACATGGGAGAGAGCAGCTGCTGACACGAGGATGGCTGTGCCATAGGAGCGCTGTGGCAGAGCATCCCCATTTCCTGATGGGACATAACGGTTTATTCAGAGGTGACCCCAAACACGAGCATTTTTTCCAGTTCTGATGGAGCAGAGTGCCTGAGGGCCTTGCTTAAGGCAGCAGAAGTACACCTGGGCTGGGATTTCCGGAGGTGCTCAAAGCACAGAGGTGTCCATGACTCTGGCCTGCAGTGGCGTCTGCTGGACATCTTCCAAGTGTCACTGCCAGCTTTGGGCAGCAAACGTGGCTGTTGTGAGCAGGGTGGAGGAGAAGGAAGGATTGTGGGGATGAAGCCACAACAGCTCAGACCACAGATTCCAGCCAACAAACCTGGGCATGAACTACTCTCTCACAGATGCTCCGACATTTGCAATTCCCACATCTACCCCAATCATCTCCCTGCTAATGGGCCCGTTGTTTTCCCTGCTGCATTAACAGCCATGGCTATGCTGAATATATTAAAGCCTGCAGCACAACTACAAATAGGGCAGCTATTTCTGGAGCTGGTAAATGAATCAAAAACAACTGCAAACAGAGCATCAGTGTTTCACCAGGTCTAATCTCCCTCCTCACTGCACGCCACAACAGGAGCTGTATCGTGCAGAGCACTGTCTCATTGTTACAGTGAATTGGCACAAAACAGGAATGAACACAAAATGTTAAAGGATTAAGTACAACCTTGGTAAAAAAAAAAATACATTAGAGATGTAGTTTTGAAAGAACTGCTCCAATTATTATGTCACCAATTTAAACAAATATATATTTAATGAGAATTGAAGAAATTCTTGTTTCCTTGTTGAGTTTACCCAAGAAAGAAAACACTTTCATGGCCAATATAATGGATTTTCCTTGACCAAGCAGTAGTTAAACAAGCACATACTGGTAAGGAAGTATAAACTCTTCAGATTCACTTTCATAATTAAGATACAAGTAGAGATATTAATCTCTGATATAGGTCCTGTTTGTCAGAGAATACTGAAGGGAAAGCAGTAATGTTGAATCAGACATGGCAAGTGATGACCCTTACAGACTTCATCTGTATGGGACTTGTTACTATTGCTATAAAGCATGAACCTCTTTTCAATGAGAGGAATGTGAAAGTCTTTCCAATTTAGTGATGTGACCCCTGGTTTTATCCATGCAGACCTCCTTGCAGGACTGGGGCCATAATTCCACAGAATACTATTCAGACACCTGGAAAGGGAGAAAAAACTCCATTTCATAGGAGCTCTGGAGCTTCTCAGCATGTTAGTGTACTTCCAGAAATGGGATGTGGATCAAATAAGTTTATTATTTCTTCAGCCCTCAGCTTCCTGAACAATTCTGCGCACATAAATGCCTCTCTTGCCTGGTCTTACTGATGTCACTGGCAAAAGTAACTCCTCATTGAAGGAGGTGCATTTCAGATCCAGCCCCCCTCTCCCCTGATCAGTCACAGGTTTAAGGCACCAGCAAGCTGTCCTAACATGACCTGGAATCAGCAAGGAGCTTCCCACATGTCAGCATTCCACGGTGTAGCACCACTGATAATGAGCTCTCCTGGGTCTCGTGAAACCACGGCAGTGAGGGAGATCTCCCTGAAGGAATTCTGTAATCCTGGTAAAGGAAGTGTATTTTTGCCAACAGAACTGCATTGATGCTCAGGCTCCTGCTGACCAGGGCAGTGTCCGAGCTCCTGCCCCTGCAGTCCCAGCTGCTTCGGCTTCTCCTGCAGCTGGTGGGTCCCAGGAGCTGCTGCAGCCTCTGCTCACTTCAGCCCAGCCTCTCTTGGTGTGAGATCTTTGCCTTTGTCCCCTAGAGAAGTAGCTAAAACAAGATCAAACCTAAATCACAGACTGGTTTGGCTTGGAAGGGACGTTAAATCAGTTTGGGAAGGGTGTTGAGACACTTGAGTGCGTCCAGAGGAGGCAACGAAGCTGGAGAGGGGCTGGGAACACAAACCCTGTGAGGAACCCCTGAGGGAGCTGGGGGTGCTCAGCCTGGAGAAAAGGAGACTCAGGGGTGCCCTCCTCACTCTGCACAGCTCCTGAAAGGTGCCTGTGCTCAGCTGGGGCTGGGCTCTGTCTCCAGGCAGCACTGACACAACCAGAGCACACAGTCTCAAGTTGCACCAAGGGAAATTCAGGTTGGATATTAAGAAAAAGTTTTTCACAGAAAGAGTCATGAATTTCTGAAATGGCTGCCCTGGGAAGTGGTGGAGTCACCATCCCTGGATGTGTTTAAAAAAAGACTGGATATGGCACTGGATGCCATGGTTTAGGGGAGGTGTTAGGGCATGAGTTGGACTTGATGATCTTGAAGGTCTCTTCCAACCTGGTCATTCTGTGAATTCTGTAAATCTCATCCAGTCCCACCCCTGACCACACTTTCCACCATCCCAGGTTGCTCCAAGCCCTGTCCAGCCTGGCCTTGGACACTTCCAGGGATGGGGCAGCCACAGCTTCTCTGCGTCCTGTATGTGAAGGACACTGTCATCAGCCGCCTTAGCCAGGGGAGGAGTTACCTGGAAGGGCTCTGGAGCCAACACAAATCCACAGAGGGTGTCTATGAGCTCAGCTTTTACGGTGTTACCTCCACTCCTCTGTCAGAGCCTTGTCTCAGCAGAGGCAGCACATCCTTGGGTCTCAAGTGCTGCCCTTCCCAGCCCACAGCCATGCCTCAAACGCCCTTTCATTACCTTGTTAATCCATCAGGGTTTGTTTTCCCAGCAGCAGATGTTTCCTCAGCCTTTGACAGGGATCCACCAAAACCGACTCCCAAGACAGCAAACCAGGCTAGTCTCCAGCTTCAGCACAGAGCAGCTCCAAGGTGCAGGTGGCACAGGCTGCTCAGACCTCCTGTGATCCTGGCTATAAAAAAGGACTGGAACCATAATGCTAATTTTTCTACTCTTCCTCACTTTGGCAGTAGCTTTACCATACAAATAACTAGGCTCAGACTCCCGAAGCACAGGACCAGAAACTGAGCTCCATCCATTCTTTTTTTTGACCCAGTTTATGATAAAGTAGGAAAGTGAAACCCTCCCCTTTCATACATGGAAATTGCTGCCAGCTCTGTGACCCTCTACTGCTCCTGATCCAAATAAACTTTAGTTTAGTTTATTAGTTTAGTTACTATTTGATTTAGTTACTTTGTTCCATAGTAACTAAATGGAAGTTGTTGTTCTTTAGCTTCCTTCACCTCTTGCCAGTTTTAAAAATAAATCTGAATTAATTTTGGGTGCTGGTGTAAAGGTGGCAGTACACGGCCTAAGTAAGGCCTTGCCAAGATAGATCTGACAAACTCCTTGACTCCAAACCCAGCTTAAGAGCTGGGTTTCATTCAAATTCCCAAATATATTCAATGCCAGGCTGCTCTCAATCCTTCAGAAAAAACACCCCAAACCAATCCCCAACCCCCCAACCAACCAGCACACAGCAGGAGCTCAGTCATTTCACTGCAAGTTTATCTCAACAGAAAATGGCCATAACCTTTTGTTTTGCAATAGGTTATTTATTACAGCTTGTTTTAAGTAAAACTAACACTCAACACTCCCTGTCCCAAGCTACTGTGACACAAAGCTACTGGTAGGACAGCTATCCTTAAGGAAGTGTCCAAATGAATGCAGGACACTGCAGATTTTCCAGATGTTCAGAGAAGTAGCACTGCCACCTACTTGGGAAAGCCAAAATCCATAAGCAGGTCACCCCCTCCAAGGAAATATTTCTCTGGATTACAAACAATAGAGAGATCACTGAGGTCACTTTTTTTCTTCCTTGCCTCACTGTTCAGTTATTGCCCAGACTTCAGCTTGCTGGAGGTAATTTTTTTGGGAGGCAGCATTCAACTATTGCAGATCACAAGCATTATGTAAACTGCTGTGTATCAGGAGCTGCTCCAAAGGCCAGGCAGGATTCCAGGCCCTATTCCCTGTTTTGATGGAATGGCTTAAACCAGACCTAGTGTAAAGGGAGAAGCAGCTCATGAACAGCAACAACCAAACTGAGTCACAGGGGCAGCTGGGACACCCAAAGCCCTGATGACACAGGGCTACAGACCCCACCAGGCATTTCTGACCTTCAGGGTCATGGCCACCACCTAGAAGATTAGACAGTCCGAAAATGCATGTCCAGGTCTGAAAATGCACAGAGAAAACCCTGAACATGCAGGTTACCCTGCCTGAGTCCTCACACACCCACCCATCCTGGGGCTCTGAAAGCCACAAGTGCCCAAGTCAACACCAACATTTTTACCAAAATCTCCACCACAGCTGCACTTACTGCAGCACTCCCCAGCCCTGCTTTTTTTTTTTTCTCTTTTTTTTTTTTCTTCTCTTCTGAAGAAAAAGTCCACCAAAATAACCAAATAACCCCTTGAGCATTTTGGAGTAATCATGTAGGTGTTTTTTTTTTTTGGTTTTTTTTTTGGTGTTTTTTTTTTTTTTTTTTTTGTTCTTTTTGTTTTTGTTTTTGTCTTTAATGGGATCAATTAAAAAGTACTAAAGGAAAACAGCAGATCAAACTGGCTGCTGAGCTATGACAGTGTGAGATCTCCCATGGGCAGGCTCAATGGCCTTCCTTAGCCACGAAAATTCTGTCTGGAGCAGAGAGAAAGTGGCAGGAAAACACTACAACACAAGAGCCAAATGTGAGTGCACTCCACATGCCCTTGGGCCAAATCCTTGTTGAGAGAAAGCAACAGACAAACAAAAACAGTCCTAGGAAGGTTCTGTTTTTTGAAGAAAAACTCAATCAATCACGAGAAAACTTAAAATCCTCAGAAGAAAAACACATAAGACAAAACCAGTTACTGGTGACACTTTTTAATTTCTTATGGTCAGACTTTTTTGAAGTAAAACCAACAGAGTAAGACAGAACTAGAGGACAGGCAGTCATATTTACAGCCATTCAAAACTAATTGTGTAAAAGCAGAGCTCAGTGGTGAAAGAAGCACAGGAGCATACAAAGAATAGTATTTTTGCGTTATTGTTAGAATTTTATTATATTATCTTAGCCATTAAAAGAATCTGTTGCATTTTATACTGCCCAATTCCAACTCACCAGCTCCCACTCAAAACGACTTGTGATACAAAAAGCGACATTTTTTCTGTTTGTAGACAACAAAACCACCTGCTTTAATTTTCCCCAACCTTACTGAAGAGTCACAGCACAGTTAACACTAATGCTCTATCCTTTACCATTAAATAAAAAATAAAACAGGGAAAATAAAACAGGCAAAGGGAAAAAACCAGACTGAGTCAGTGTAATCATTCAGTTGGATTCTGGATGACAATCAGGAAATAGTCTTTATCTGGAGAGGAAAAAAAAAAAGAAAATTATTCTTTCACTGCTGGTATTTGTTCACAGAAACAGTAAGTTCCAACATTTTTCAAATCTCTCTGATGCGCTGTGGGAACTCCAGAGCCTGCCATTAATTCTCAATGAGCAAAACATGCTCCCAAGTGTCAGATCATTTGTTTTATGGGTTTTACTGTGAAAAACTCTCAGCTTTAGAAATTGCACATTCCCAAGGCAGCTGAATTTAACCCAGTTTGTGCCTGGAAACTACAGTAACTGGCATGTGCCACACTGGTGCAAGGTGGCCACTGCCCTTCTCTCACAGGCACACTGGGGGCTGCAGCTATTTTTTCTGGAGCAATGCTTATTCCTCTTTCCATCCTTCCTGTGGAAATCTGAGGCTGCCTCAGCATGAACCAGAGCCTGTGTTAAGATCTGCCCTAACCATGCCTGCCATGGGGAACTGCCATCCTCTGCCTGGCCTCTCCACCAGCCCCATCCCAGCAGGGAGCACGCAGGGACAAGGCCGAATTCCTGCCACATGAGCGACCTGCACTCATCTCGCTGCTTCCCAGTTTGGAATTCAACAAAATACTGAGAATGTTTCCTGAAAAGAAAGCTGCTGCTGCTATATACCATGGCTCATGATTACAGCTCAGTGTGCTCTAACACATTTACCAGAACTGGAAAGTCAGGACTGTCTTGTTTTATCATTCAGTCCACACTTCTGAATGGAAATTGTTCCCAGAATGTATTTCTTTCCAAATCCTAGGGTTTTATACTGAAAAACAAAGCATCAGAGGGTGCAGCACCCTCTCAAGCATTATCTAATACTTTGTACTTTGATCTACACAAAATGAGTGAAGGGATCTGCCACATTCAAACATGACAAAGCAAACTTAGGTCAATGATAAAGCTTTCAACTCTCCAGAAAGTAGAACAGCTTCTTGGAGAGAAGGAATAATCCAATGTGAACACAAGCAGCAGGCAGACTCCTTCCAGGCTGACAGCATCAGTCTCAAGTCAAAACAATCCTACTGGATTCCCAGATTCCTGCTTTCGCCCTGCTCTCTCCTACCTGGAGCAACCATGATTTCGTTTTTCTTGGAGCGGATCCGCAGGAACGTGAGGTCGTTCTGGGGATCAATGTCCCGCACGGTGCTCCTGGCCTTCATGATGAAGCTGTGCATGAGGCCAGCGTACTGAATGGTGGTGGAGTTGTCTATGGTACTCTTGATGGGAATACCTGCAGGAGAGGGACAGCAAGGCTCAGTGCCAAACCTCCAGAACCAACCCTGCACTGGGCATCACCAGGTCCAGCCTTGGTTGCCACTGCACAAGGGGTCAGGAGTGTTCTCTCTGAAGGCAAGAGGAAAACGATGAAAAACAAGGTATGAAAAAGCTGAGATGTGGGACCACAGGTGTGGGTGAGAACTGTTTACCTCTAGTAGCACCAGTGCTTTACTTTTTCATTTTGAGAGTTAGAAATAGATTAAACAAAAATAATCATCTATAAAGGAGAGAAGAAATACCAGTGTTGGCAGTTTTTTCTCCTGACTGGGGACACTTTTTTTACTACAGAAAGGATCCCCAACACCAGTTAAATGATACTGAGCTACACCAGGCTGGGATCAGTGATTATGGAGGACATCAGCTGCTGTATCACACAGCTCCAAGGCTGAAGCTCCAACGTTCAGCCCTAAGAGGAGGTGCAGTCCTAGGAGGTCCCTGGTTCAGTGATAACCAGCCTGGAGGGCAGACACACTGTTCAGACAGAGCTTTACAGAGCTCCCTTACACTTTAGCCACCCATTAGATGTGTTTTCCCACCAAAAGCCAGTCAAACCCCAGCTCCTGGGTCAGAACACAGGACCCAAGTACCAAATTCTGCAGGGCAGAACCAGGTGTCTGTTCCAGTAACTGCAGCTGCAGCACAGAGAGCACAAACCACTCAACCATCATAGAAAAGCAGTGAGAAGGAGCCAAGCTGCATGATCTGATCCTCAGTATATTCACATGTAGCTGCTGTCACCTTTTCTAAGGATTACTTCTAGGAAATATTCAATTTTTGGGCTGCTCACAGTGTATTGAGAGTGCACTGAAGAAGCTTGCCTGTTGAACTCTTCAGACTCCACAAAGAGACAACTTGCTGATGAGTTCCATGAGACCACAAGCACCAGACAGTGCTAAAGAACTGGAGTCTGCCAGGCCAGCAGTGTTCTGGACAGGCCCAGCAGCAAGATTTCCATCTTGTGAGAGCCTCAGTGCTACTGATGAAAGTTTTCACACACCCAGTTTCAAACACTGCCACAACTCAAATATTTCAATGCTTTTGCAAATGATTTTAATTTATTTCCTAAAATAATAATGTAAGCTTCCAGAAATTGGAAGGCAATTTTCTTTTCTAGCCTGACTGCTGTCTGTCTCCTTGGGCTGCAGGAAAACCTCTCCCAAAACCCAAGTGTAAGCTAAGTGCAAGTGGTACAAGCAGCAGCCCTCAAAGTGGGTGGCTGGAGTAAGTGATAGGTCAGATAAGTGAGGCTGACACAGCACCTTCCGAATTAACCACGATGATTCCCTGCACTCCCTTCTGGCTCTGGATTCGCTTCAGTGTTTCCTCCACCTCAGCCTGCAAGACAAAGCACAAATCAATACAGGGTTACAGCTGCTCTTTGCCTCCCACCAAAGCTTTGGGATAGCATGGCTGAACACAAAGCTGCACAGGAATGATTATACAGCCACTGCCTGTACTGGTTTATACAGCCAAGTGTCTGTACTTTGGTGCCACCTTTTCTGCATGGCCTTTCCAGTTATTTTCCATCTGCCTGTTTTCTTCACTCATTTGTGATTATCATCCTGGAACTCCCCTCTCTCCTCCTCCCCAAGCCTCCTGCTAAAGGCTTGCCACTGGAAGCTGCAGTCAGACAGCTACAATTTAGGTGTCAAACAAAAATCATCTTTGAAAATGGACATGAAATTTATGAAAAAAGTAGGAAAAAAATACATGGTGGATGCAAGATGACCTTCCCTTTTAGCAAATTACAAATTACAAAAAGCAATTACAAATAAGAGAAGTGAGAGGGGAAAAACAATGAATGAACACTCCCTGTTTGTAATTCTGATTTGTGCTAGGATGGCTGCAAGGCTGTAACCACTGCCAATAATTTACAGCTTAAAAAGGGACAAATGTAAACACAGGCCAAGGCAATAGTCTGCTCTATAAAAACCATTAAAGGAGGTTTCAGTACCTTCTGCACAACTCTCCTGCTACAAGACACCCATCTAAATATAACTATGGCATCTGCAGTAGGGTGAGAAACCCTTGCACCTGAGCAGATTTCCACAGCTGGATGAGTATTTGGCATTTTTTATTCCCATTAAAGGAAACAAAAACAAGTAGCATCTTTCAGATCCTGCAAGGCACAGGCCCCCAGAAATGGTTTAGGAGGGGAGACCGGAATCACCTGAACCAGAACAGGTGAGATCTACAAGGGGCATTTGGCCAAGGCTGTGTTCCCTGGGCACCCTGAGCAACCCTCTCCACTTCCTGCCACAGCAAACGGGCACAAAGATGTCACACGCCCTGTTCCCTGGGAAGAGACCTTGTCCAACAACAAACACAACACAGCACAGCACCAGCTCAGCCCCAGCACCACCAGCACTTTTCTCAGAGTGCTGTTGGTAACACAGCCTGTGCCTCATAAGAGATGGGAGCCTCCAAGCTGGTCTTTATGAAGCAGAAGTTTTTCTATGTGACCCAGCACAGCAAAATTCAAGTATTTTCAACAAAACTCTTGGTTATTTCTGAATGCTGGACTGTTCTCAAATGAAAGACAAGGGAAATTAAACAAAGAACAAATGAAAGGGTGTACAAGTGCTGGGAAAATAGTGGCAAAAGGTTAAATCTATTAAGAAATTAAGATCTGATTTCCCGCCTTCTTACTAGCACTGTTTAAGTCCTGATTAAATACTTTCCTTCACAGGACCTTAACAAACCTTTTCAGATGCAAAGCAGCATCCATAAAGAAGGATACCAGTTCTTAATTTCCTCTTAACACCTTCAGCTGATCTAACTCACAGGTGGGTGATCTGCTCTGACACAGCTGCTGCTGTGGGAAGGTCCTGCTCCTACAATTCCTACCCTGGGGCTTGTCCAGCACCTCCACAAGCCAGTGCAGCTCACCGGACCAACAAAAATAGTACTGAGAATAAAATTACATATTTAATTCATGAAACACACAGTCCCCATTTTAATGAAGGGCTGAATAACTACAAGAGATAGCACATGGAGGAGGAGACATGCACTCTAAAAAAGGAGAATAAACACTCCCTCAACACCATTTTGCTGCTAAATACCCTTTGCTATATGTACAACAGCAGCCTTTATCTTCCTGTTTTCATCTGGAATAACTGAACTCCTAGGTTTGCCTAAAAAATACATCTTATTAGAGAATTTCAATTTTCCCTCTGCAACTTTGGTCAGCATTTATTTCTTTACAAATTTGACATACATTTGATCCTCAGTTTCATCGACATGCAATAGCCAGCACCACATCTGAGCAGGGAGAAGCCTCCAATAGAATCACAACAGAACAAATACAGCCCCGGTTATTAAACATCCAAAACCAGTCTCTTTTTCCTGATTGCTTCCAGCTTTACAGATGTGCCCTGGCAGCCGTAGGAAACGCAGATTTCGCTGCCCCAGCACGGGGCTGGGCTGGATCGGGTGATGGTTCGGCCTCTCGCCGCGGTGACCCGGGGCCGGGCCGAGCCAGGGAAGGCCCTCGGAGGCAGCGCCGGGACCCGCAGCGCTCCCGGCCCGCTGCTGGGGGAGACGGGTGGGACCGCCGGGCCCGCCCCGCACAAACACGACCCCGCCCGGGGGCCTGACACAGAACTCGACACACAACCCAACACGAACCGAACCGAACGGGGCCGGGCCGGGCGCTCCCAGCCCCCGCGGCCCGCAGCGGGGTCTCGCCTTCAGCCGGGCCCGCCCGCGGGGCAGCGCCTGTGCCTGAGGGGAGCCAGGAGCGGCACCGGGACCGCCCCGCCCTGCGCCGGCCGCTGGAGCCGCCGAGGGCCGGGGACGCACAGAGACCCCCGAGGGCGGCACAGGGGCCCCGCCCGGACTCCGGACCGGCCTCACCCACCATGATCAAGCCGCCGCCGCCCCGTCTCGGCCCCGGCGCTGCCCCGGAAGCGCTTGGAGCGCGGGGCGGGACCGCTCCGGAGACACCGCCCCGAAGCCTCAAACCCTTCGGAGCCCACGCAAGTTGCTCCCAAGCTCCCGAGGACGCTCTCGGGGGCGCGTGGGTCCCTAATTCCGCTTTAGGGACATCAGCGTGAAATCCCATCCTTTCAGTACCTGAAAGGGACTTACAGGAAAGGTGGGACGAGTCTGTGTACAAGAGCCTGGAGTGACCGGACAAGTCGGGATTGGTTCACATTGAAAGAGAGGAGGTTTAGATTCGAGATTAAGAAGAAATCCTTCCCTGTGAGGGTGGGTGGGGAGGCCCTGGCACAGAGTGCCCAGAGAAGCTTTGGAAGCTTCTCTGGAAGTGTCCAGGGCGGGGTTGGATGGGGCTTGGAGCGATCTGGGCTAGTGGAAGGTGTCCCTGCCATGGCAGGGGCTGAAATGAGATGGCCTTTAAAGGTCCCTTCTCACCCGAACCATTCTGTGATTCCACGATAAAGGGTGTGGGGAGTTCCTTTCCCCCCAAATGGCCACAACCCCTCAGCTGCTGCCGGAGCCCCCCGGGACAGGGGCAGAGCCACTCCAAGGCATGGTGCACCCTAAAGCCCTGGGACCTCCCTGCCACAGCCCCGGGAATCCGTCTCCTGAGGGTAAAGGTGTGTGCTGCCCCTGCCAGTGGGAAAGGGAGAGCTCTCAGCTCCCTTGGGGGAAGGACTGGGAATGACCTACAGTCCGATGGCAAAACAAAATAACACATCCAAGAACTGCATCCCCATAACCCCAGCTCTGTTCTACGTACACACAACAGCAGCAGTTGGACTTTCCCTCTGACCTCAGGCGCTGCTAGAAGTGAAACAGTGTCCCAGAATGGTTTAGGACCTTTAAAGGCCATCTCATGCCACCCCCCTGCCACGGGCAGGGACACCAGGTTGCTCCAAGCCCCATCCAAGCTGGCCTTGGACACTTCCAGGGATCCAGGGGCAGCCATAGGTGGGCAATTTGTGCCAGAGCTCATGACCCTTACAGGGAAGAATTTCTTCCTAATATCCAATCTAAACCTACTCCTTATCAGTTTGAATGCTCCTTCTTTTGGGACCACAACCCTTGAATCAGCAAACACACACTGGGCTCACACTGAGCTCCCACAGCAGTCACAGAGAGCTGGTATTGGGTGAAATGTAAAACACATCCTCTTAGTGCTTTTAGATTTTTGTTCCCCTCTGAAAGTCAGGATTTGACACAGCAGGTAAGCTCACTGGTCTCTCCAATTTGTCTGTCTGCATTTTCCTTGGAGAAAACGAGATTTCTCCAATGAGCCCTGTCATTTGTGCACTGCTGGGCTGACAGGCTGAGAATCAAAATTGGATCAGGCATTGCCAGAGATCAGGAAAAAATCCTTCTTTAGGATCCAAGAGATAAGGCAATTTCCTCTTCTAGGGGCTGTTTACAACTTTGCAACCTAATTCCAGTTGAATTCCAATCTCTCTTAGCAGTCCAGCAGTGTTTTACAGCTTGGCTACAAGAAGTCATTTTGCCGTGGATTGATTTAATTTTTGGTCTGTGCAATGGTAAGATTTGGGCAGTAGTAAGGTTGTGGTGGATAATATGGGCAATAATAAGCAGCACACAGCTGCCATCAGACACCCAAACAAACATGGGTTTGTTTAAACAATCATTCCCATCCTGCCATGAACAAAACCTTCAACACTCCCACCCAGGGCTGCTGCTGACATTAGCACCCTCATCATTAAGGCAAATAGAAAAAAAATTGGCACAACTGAGATGTACATTTATCATACACTGCATTGTGATTAATTTTTGCCTTTTAAAAATAAACTTCAGATGTATGTGAAATACCCTTGTAGCTGTACTCATATAAAGTTGCTCAAAGCAGTGTCAAATTTTGGGTTTACAGAACTTATTAGGATGCTTTTAAGTGGTTCCATTCAAAGCTTGGAGGAAGTGTCTCCACACCAACCTCCCTGCTGCAGAAAAAGGCAGTTGTCATTGCATGTATTTGCCTGGCACAGAAAATCATCCTCGGGATTTGCTGCCCCTGACAAAATTGAGTTAATTCAGCCTGTGGGAGCACCTGGGAAAGTCAGCAGAGAGAGAACACAGTGGGAAGGTCTGCAGCAGTCATCCTCAGGGAAGGATGACCACTTTAGGGACCATTTGGCCAAACTGGACAGAATTAAGTCCCTGAGATAGGTTAATTTTGGTTGGAAGAGACCTTTGAGATCACCAGTATTCTATGACCCTGACGGGACATCCCTGTGAGCACTGAGGGAACTGGAACCTCACTGCAAAGCCCATCTCCATTATTTGGGAATGCTTGTGGCCATGAGGAGAGGTTCTCATGACAGGAAGAATTTAAATGCCACCTCCCCCTTCAAGGAGGATCAGGGACACTACAAGGCTGGTTGGTCTCACTGGAGCTTTTCCCCGCTCCTTCGTGGCATTTTGCCAATCCAAACCACTTGCAGGGTCATTCCTCATTGTCAGTATCCCTGCACCAGTGCTGCAATGGGATGTTACAGCTGCAGCTCCTGCAGAACCTCCCTCCACCCCATCTCCCTCAGGCCTCAGCAGCCTCACAAGCCCTCACTGGCTCCTCAGGGCAGCATCCACAAGCACTAAAAATCCACGAATTGTGTGCAAAATCTCCTCTTCAATATCCAATACAATCAACAAGGGTGGATGAGGTCTTGGGAAAGAACTATTCCTGAAGAATCCCGGTGGAAGGACAAGTCCAGGCAGCCTGACCCTCACCCCAGGAGCACACAGACAATTCATTTCCACCTGGATATTCTGTCACACATAAGGAATAAGGACCAGACCACCAGCTCTTTAAGTAGTTTTATAAAAGTATTTGACTTACTGAGATACTGTTACAGTTACCTGAGTATTTGAAATTACAATGCAAGGAAATATCGACAATGAATTTCAGTACAGTATTTTACAATCCAGTGCTGCTGATCCCAGTTTCTACACGAGTTCACTAGAGCACATATACACAAACAGTGATTCTTGGAGAAAATTAAAAGACACCACAAAAAAGGGGGCTGGAGATACCAATATAACAGAGTTGAGATTACAAATCCAGTGCAGCATGTACTAAAATAAAATTTTTTAAAAACCCCAAAAAAACCAAAACCCCTAACCCCCCCCCAAACAATTTTTTTATTTTTCTCAAAATAATACAAAAGGGTTTTTTTTGTAACACAAGCAACTGGATTTAAAAACCCCCAAACTTCCATACTAGATCAGATAAAGAACGTATTTACTGTGCATGTCATTAGTAAATGAACAGTTCCTGAGCTACTTGTAACAATAAGGCTTTGTTAATTCTCAGTATTTAATTTTCTCATGTCATTCTCATGAAGGAAAATTCTAAATAAAATTTCTTTTAATACTTGGTAATTAGGATCAACTGACAGTTGCATATGAATGTACATTTGTGACATACTATGAATTTATGCAGCTCAGGTTGCTAAAAGAGTTGAAGCAAATTAATTAATCTCTGCTGAAAATCTCACTTGTAAATCCAATCCACAAAAACCTGTTATCTGGGATAGCAGCTGCTCTGGGCTCATCCCTGTATTGCTTCACCAGATCCCCAGAAAGAACTGAAAAGTGCACCAGTGGCTTGTATAATTCCTTTGAACTTATACACAATATGCTGTAAAAATTTAACAGATTTGTTAGCATTCACAAATCAAATGCCTAAGGAATCTGAACTTATGCCTTCAGAAATATTTTCAATGTGATGCTGTGAAGTTGCTTTAAACTTTTTCTATTTGGCCAAATTTGATGTTTCACTGATTATTTTCCCCCTCAATGAATTCTTTATTTGCAATATTTTTAAATAATATCTGGTGCTTGGAATATCCAGCCCCCTTTCTCCCATCCTGGTACAGCAGAAAAGACATATAAACATGCTATTTAAATTAAAGAAACAATGGAATAAGTGGAATCCTGGACATCAAAAATATATACAAGTAGGTATGTTTTTCCTGAACTAAACATTTCAACCATAAAAATATTCAACAGCCAAACCCTATAGAACTAGGGCTAAGGCTATTTCAATTATAACTACTCTTTATTTTAAAAATATAGGGCTGACAGCCTTTTGGGTGATATTTATACATGAACAATAGTTCTAGGTTCCCTACACGAATTGTAAAGCAATATGCAGAACATAGACTATTTTTCATACCTTAACCTTGCATTATCTTGCTTAATTTAATCTCTCTTGTAAATATGTTAGATAATTACAGTTCACTGTAAGAATTAATATAAACAGAAAATATATATAAGGCTTTTTTTTTTTTCTCATGAGCTGTATACTGTCATAGATCCAAATATTGTGGAAGTTGGCAATTCTCCTCCCAGTCACACTTGAAAGTGAATTCTCATCATCAATGAAACTTGAAATGAGGGGCATTTCTGTATCACCAGTACCTCTCCTCAGGCCTTCCTTCAATTAAGCCTGACAAGTCCCACCCTCCTGCCTTCCTGAAGCATTTATCACTGAGCCCTGACACACTTGTGAAGTCAGTTAAAACCTGTAGTGTCTTGGTTCTTCTTAGACCTGAATCAGTTTTTTCCTCTCGCAGTTTAGATGGATACAACAGCAGGAAAGAAATACTCTTTTCCAGACTGAATGTTCAGTTTTATACTTTCCCACTGTCCTGTTTCAGCTCTGTCATCTGAGAGAGTCTTAAATGCAGCTCCTACCCCAGTGCTCTGAGCTGCAGGTTTGCTTTAGTATGTGCTACATGTTATTTCAAGTGTCACGTCTCTCACTGTGGCTACAGCTCATTTCACTGGTGTCTGACTTCTTCCCTTCGGGGGAAGGGAAAGGGCTGACCAGACCCAAAAAGTGCATTCAGTCTAAAGGAGCAGTAAAATGCAAAATGTTATTGTAAACCAGAAAAGAATTAACAGATTCTAACAGGAAATAACAGATGTTAATTCAACAGGAACTCGCTACAAAAGTTACTAGCTGTAAGCAGCTTAGGGTGAATTAGCTTAGAAACCTCCCCAAAAACTATAGTTTCAAACTTTGTAGAACTATTTACTGATGCTCCAGTTTCCCAAAAACCTGTAATCCGTGTCTGAACTCTCTAATCCTCTTGGCCTCAGCCAGTCTCACACATCAGTTCATCCACA